TCCTCCCCTCCTCCCTCCTCCCCCTCCTCTCTCCTCCCTCCTCCCCCTCCTCCCTCCTCCCTCCTCCTCCTCCTCCCTCCTCCTCCTCCTCCTCCTCCTCCTCCTCCTCCTCCTCCTCCTCCTGCTCCTCCGCCCTTCTCTCTCCTCCCAAGCAGGGTGTTTCTTGGCATGGGTCTCCACTGCACGCCTCCCCGACATGGTGGGCACGGCGTGCTCCAGGCCCGGGATCGCCTCGCCCCCTCCCAGGGCAAAGGCCAGCGGCGCGCCCCGCTCGCGGGAGCTGTCGGGCACCTCCCAGGGGGGGGCAAAACTGCGAGGCAGCGTGCGCATTAGGTCGGGCATGTCCCGCTACAGGCGGATTCTGGGCGAAAAATAAAAAGTAGTCAACAAATACCCCCCAACTGCTCAAAAATAGCCCAAACGTCGTACCCAGACGATTGTTGGACTATTTTCGAATATTTTCCTGTAGGAGCAGGACGAAGCCCGGGCGAAGACAAACATTCGGGGGAAGACACGTCGGGAATCTCTGAGATCCGGCGGCTCCGGAGGCCGTCTCGGGCGCCGTGGCCTTCTCAGAGCGTTCCGGAACGCTCTGAGAGCATTCCAGAACGCTCTGGAACGGAGTCATCCTCGCCCCAGCCCCGTCCGACGTGAGCAAGAGCACTCGGAGGTCCGCGGGGACTTGTCGGATCGGCGCTGGACTCGCCCCTGGGCTGCTGCGGGCTCGACCACGGGCCCATGGTTACGGTTACCCGCCGACCTTGAGCGGTCTGCGGTGGTCTTTGGCGGTCTTCCGATGGTCTTCGGCGGTTGCTGGCGGCCGCAGGGGAAAAAGCTGGATCATCGCACTCCGCAAGGGGTCTGTGACCGAACACGTCATGGTCGGGCCAGTGGCGCCGCCGCTGGAGCACCCCGAACGCCAGGAGGTGGTGGGGGGGGGGGCGGCGCCCATCCAGGAAAAATCCAGGCGGACCTCCGATCATTCATGTTCGGGGAATGTATCGGCGCCGCTGCTCCCTGAGCCTCTCGCGGGGTGCGCTCTGGCCGGGGCCCCGCGGCGAGTCCCGGCCGTGGCGGCGAGGACCTTCCAGGGACGGGCAGTGGCACGGATACCTCTACCGCCTCTGACCCTGCGACCAAACGCCGCGGTGCAAATGGCGCCACCGCGAAACCACTCGACCGAAGCCCGGGGCCCCATCCTTCGGCGGCACTCCCCGAGGCTGCATCGACCTATGCTGGCCCCAAGGCCCGACACCTGCGACGCGAGGATCCTGGCCATCGCTCGGACGGCCATTCCCTGCGTTTTTTTTCCGGTCTCGTGCGTGGATTTTTTGCCAAATGGTCAAGGATGCTCCTCGATGGTCCCCGCCGAAAGAACAATGCACAAGTCCGAGCGATGCCAAGGCTCTCATGGCCCTCTTAAGAGTCTGCGCGGCTTCGCCCGCGAGCCTCGCTCCCGCCGGCCGCCCGGCACACGTAGTGGACCTCCACCTGTCCGCCGGGCTCCGGGAGCGCGCCGGAGCCCTCGCGCAGCACCCGCTTCGTCAGGCGCCCGTCCCCGAGCAGATCCAGCGGCTCCGGCGGCGCCGGCGCCGCCGCGGCCGCCATCGCGGGCGGCGCGCTCCCACGGAGCGGCGGGCGGCCGCCCCTGCTTTGGGCCTGAGCCGTGCGTCGGACAGGCAGTGCTCGCACGAGGGAGGAGGGAGGCAGGAGGGAGAGAGGGAGGGAGGAGGGAGAGAAGGGAGGCGGGAAGGGAAGGAGGCAGGCGGAGGAGGAGGAGGCGGAGGAGGAGGAGGAGGAGGAGGAGGGGGAGGAGGAGGAGGAGGAGGAGGAGGAGGACGAGGAGGGGGAGGGGAGGAGGAGGAGGAGGAGGAGGAGGAGGAGGAGGAGGAGGAGGAGGAGCGAGCGGAAGCCGAGGGGCAGTTGGGAGAAGGAGGAGGAGGAGGAGGAGGAGGAGGAGGGGCACGGAAAGCAAAGGAGGGAGGAGGGATGAGGCTCCTCCCTCTTCGATCTGACCACACATCTAGGACCGCCAGTTCATCACAGGCATGGTCGCCTCCCCTCTTTCCCCCTCCCGACCCTCCTCCTCCTCCTCCCTCCTCCTCCTCCTCCTCCTCCTCCTCCTCCCTCTTCCTCCCTCTCTATGTTCCCTTCTGCCCATACGCTGGGCGAACGTGGGCAAGAGACGTGTGGTTCGCAGGGGTCCGCCACAACGGCCGCTGTCTTGGAATAGCCTGACTCTCCCTGCTTCAACCTCACTCCTGGGGATGCCCACGCGTTCCATTGTCCCAGGGGTCGGCACTCAACACTGAAGGGCCCTGGGACACGCAAATAAATACACACAAGTAACAGGATTCCCCATATTTCCTAATATTTTCTGGGCTTCTGCCTTCCCCCGCACTTTCCATACTTCCTTCTATTTTCGGCCGAATTGACGATTCATTGTGCCTGTGTTTTGTTTCCCTCCTGAAACACGTACATGGGAGGTGGACGCACGGACCCCACGTACTGCAGGTTCGTGCCGTGTCGACCCTGGCGTTGGTTCCTGACACCGCGCTGGATCGTTCAACCTTGAACGATCGGCCGTCTCCGCAACGTCCGATCGTTCAACATCGATCGATTCTGGGTCGCCCGCGGCGTTCAATCTTGAACGTCCGCGCTGGGGTCGCCGCTGGTCGACACGACGCAGACCTACCGTAATGATCTACCACCTGCCGTGGATCTCTCCACGTATGGTTCGGCAGCAGCCGCGGGCACTGTCGTGGTGGGCTTCTCTGGACACCAGCCGAGAGAGCCTTGCAGCGCGGCCAGGGTCCGGCCCTCGAGTGGCAGCACCGGCGAAGAGTTGCTCGGGGGCTGTGGCCACTGGCTCTTGTTCGCCTCGGCAGGCAGCGACAGCAGCAACGCAATGCCGTCCTGGATCACAGTCCGATGGCGTCCACTCCGTTCCGCTTCTCCACTCCCTCCTCCACCGCCTCCTGAATCTGCCGGCCTCTGATCCTCCGAGATATGCGGCCGTCAACCCCTCCCTGAGCGCATCCGCACTGCTGCGCAATCTGGTCCCAGGGTAGAGTTGTTCGCTTCCCTGGCAGTCTTGTGAACCATTCCTATGGAGACATCGTATTATGTAGCGACTGTATGCCCCAGTGTCGAACTACAGTGGAGGCCAGTCCACAAGAAACCTTCCACAAGAAACCCCAACCCTGGGCCCCTAGGACGTCCACTGAATTTTGGCGTAGGAGCGTCACGCTGCCCATGGCAAAGCCGTCTGAGTCCAAGAAACCCAGGGCACCCTGGAGGCAAGCAGGGTGCTTCGTGGCATGGGTCTCCACTGTATGCTCAAGCCGCGAGCTCATGTTGCCCTGCGTTCGCCTGTGCTCGATCTTCTGGTCTGCGATCGATCGGCGCGGCCCCGGTAGGGTCACGGTTCTGTGGGCCAAGTCTCGCGCCTCTCCTGTGCTTCAGGTGAGAGTCCGCCATTGGGTATGGGACTACCTGCCAGACCACCCCAACCCAACCCGAAAACGCGGGTTGGGGGGGTACGGGTTGCAGATCTGTTTTCTCAATGTTCCCCGACCCCCTCCCCCACACTGGAAATAGAGGGCAAATCGAGGCCTTCGGGTTGGGTTGGGGTGGTTCGGTGGGCGGTGAGGGTGAGGAGCATTTCCTGACTGGGTGTGCGGAGTTCTCTGCAGGGTGGGCTGCTAACGCCTCGGCTGTCCCGAAAGTATTGCCAAGCGTGCTCCTGAGCAGGGTGGCGTGACTCGTTATATTATTCTCTGCCGCCTCCTTGCGATCCTAACGGTTTTATGAAGGGGCCCTGGGACACACAAATAAATAGACACAACTAGAAGGATTCCCCACATGTCTCCATATTTCCTGGGTTTGCGTCTTCCCCCCCACCTCCCATATCTTCCCAGATGTTCCTAGGGAATCGACCATTGATTGTGTTGGTGTGTGTATGTGTGTGTTTTTGTTCCCTTCTGAACATGGTTGTAGCCGCGTCGTGTAAGACACTGCCGGCCACCCGCGTAAGGCCGCCCACCGCCCAAGGCCCCGTGCGCGCTCTCGTCGTCACTGCGCCCGCCGGGCCCCGTGCGCGCTCTCGTCGTCACTGCCGCCTCCTTCCAAGAGGAGGGGAGGGAGGGGGAGGAGGAGGAGGAGGGGGAGGGGGAGGGGGGAGGGGGAGGAGGAGGAGGGGGAGGAGGAGGAGGAGGAGGAGGAGGAGGAGGAGGAGGAGGAGGAGGAGGAGGAGGATCCACTGAGTCCAAGAAGAGCTCCTCTCCTCCTGCCTGGGGGGGCCCGCGGGGCGCAGGCTCGCGGCGGCGGCGCCACCGCCGCGGCGGCGGCGGGCCCCCCGGCGGCGGCGGCCAGCGCGGCGGCCACCTGCGCCTGCGCGGCTGGGCCTGCGGCGGGCCCAACGGTCTTTCGGGGGAGTCCCTCCTCATCTGTCCCTCCTCATCCCCCTCCTCCCCCCTCCCTCCTCCTCCTCCTCCTCCTCCTCCTCCTCATCATCATCATCATCATCGTCATCATCATCATCATCATCATCATCATCATCATCATCGTCATCATCATCATCATCCATCATCATCATCATCAGCATCAGCATCAGCATCAGCATCAGCATCATCATCATCATCATTCATCATCATCGTCCCCCTCTCCTCCTCCTCCTCCTCCTCCTCCTCCTCCTCTCCTCCTCCTCCTCCTCCTCCTCCCTCCTCCTCTTCGTCCTCCTCCATCATCATCATCAGCAGCAGCAGCAGCATCATCATCAGCAGCATCAGCATCATCATCATCATCATCATCATCATCATCATCAGTCATCATCATCATCATCATCATCATCATCATCATCATCATCATCAGCAGCATCATCAGCATCAGCATCATCATCATGGACAACATCACCATCATCATCATCAGCATCAGCATCAGCATCATCAGCATCATCATCATCATCATCATCATCATCATCATCATCAGCATCATCATCATAATCAGCACCCCCCTTTCCTCCTCCTCCTCATGTTACTCCTCCTCTGGGGGGCAGGCTGCTTCCCGACTAGGCGGAGGTTGGGGGATTCTCAAGTGGCGTTATTGAGGTGGCGTTCCGCGCTGCCCTTCCCGCCTCATTCTCCTCCTCATCTTCCTCCGCCTCCTCCTCCTCCTGCTCTTCCTCCTCCTCCTCCTCCTCCTCCTCCTCCTCCTCTTCCCCCTTCGGGGATCGCACTCTCGCGTAAAACTCCTCGAGGCTCGTGCCAGCCAAGTTAAACGTCATGAACAAAATATTTCGGGGTTCGCACTCCCAGCTTCTCCGCGCGTGGGACCCTGCGGCGCTCGTGCCGGGTAAGCTCCGACTCCTCGTAGTCCCCAGGGTCCGTGCCAGGTTTCGACAACAGACCTCGTCGGGGTTCGTGCCGACGCCCCCTGTCAAATGACCCAGGGCGGGTCACTACTGATGTTGTTCAGCGTTGACAAGTCGTGCTCAATGTGTGTCACGCGTGATCGGCGGTGCCCACGGCCGCTGAGTGCCGCGCAATTCTTGCCCCCGCTGCTAAGCATTGGTGAGCGCTGTTCGATGGTGGCCTCTGATGTCCAGGTGCTGCGCTGCCCTTGCTCAACGATCGACCACTCCAGCCTTGTGTGCTTGCGTTGCCTGGCATGCTATGCTGTTCTTGTGCCCTCGGCTCTGTACTGTTCCCTCGAATTCGGTTGTGTGAATCGTATGCTCTTCTCTGCTTCATTGTGTTCCGCTGTGTTCTGGTCTGCCAGGTTGCGCCCCACAGAAGAGGACCCCGCGGGGTCTCCACTGGTCCAGGGGATGTGGCGGCCGCGGCATGTGTCGGCCCACAGCCCTGACCTTCCAGAGTGCTAAAAAATAGCACTCCAGACCTATAGATCCATCTGGACCGCCTCAAACCTCGACAGGAATAAGGACGTCGACGTCCTGGTGCTAGTTTGTTTGCCCTCCTGGAAGGTCAGGGGAATGCCGCTCCCCTGTGCTTCTCTTGCAGCCGGCTCTGCTTCTGCTCTCTGCTCTCTGCTCTCTGCTCCTGCGCTCCTGAGGGGCACCGATCGGGGGGACTGCCACAAGGGGGATGCACCGACCTGGAATCGGCGATACATCGCGGATAGATCGGCGATAGGCTCCCGAGAGCGAATCCGCACCTTCCAGGGCGGGGTGGGGCCATCGGCCCCCTATCGGCGATCAATGAGCGATTGGGGATAGATGCACCCCCCCTTATGCCTATCCCCCCCTCCCGTTGCCCCCTTTCTCTGCTCCACACCATACCCCACCTTTTGCTTCTGCTCACCGGTACCCTCAGCTGACCCTTTTGCGAGCCCGCCGTGCTGTGAGAGGCGGTGCTAGCAACTACTTGCTGACGTCTGTGGGCCGTTGCTCATTGGCGGCCCACCGCTTATCAATGCCGCCAAGTTCTACCCCTGGAGAGCACTCGTGCTCTCTAATGCCCACTTGTACTCTTTGCTTGTCGCTGATTGCCCACCTCTGCGCGGTTCTGACAGTGCTGATCGCTGCCTGCTCACAGCTGATCACTACTGCCCACTAGTCCCAGCGTTGGGCACTGATTGGTCACCGCTGG